AAGAAATACAGGGAAGATAGGAGAAGGGGAAAACAAGAAGAGAGAAGAATGGAGAAAGGAAGAAAGGAGGGAAGGCGAAGTACAGCAGAAAATGAGCAGAAATAGACACTGGATAAAATTTATCTGCCACTTTCTACAACCTGCTTCATTGTGCAGGAAAGAGGCACAGCCTTTGTCAAAATGGAGCAAACTTTTAAGAATGAGTAATTTATTTGGAAAAAAGTTATATTCAAGATGCTCAATGGGGACAGAGGAGTGTTCACTTATAAACAAAAATGTGAGATGGTGGAGAGGAAGAAAACATTTATTTAAATCAGCCAGGCCACTCTGCTTCCTTTCTAGCAAAAGCCTAAGAGCAGCTCAAATATTGTGAACACTATTCTGTTTAAGGAGCGGGGGAATCTATATTAAAATTTAAAACAAAGAAATCACAAAAAAAAGAACACAAAACTTTAAAAACCGAAGAGCCTGAGCCATCTCAAAACAGAAACTTTTCTCTTCTGCTCAAGAAGTGTAGGTAATACACTAACACAACATTTACTTTTCAGTTGAACGACCCTCTCCATATTCTCTACTATCTCCTAGGTAAAGCTGAAGGAAATGTTCTGGCTATAGCCCATCCAGGGGAACTGGCGCCAACATCGTTATTTTGTAAGTCGCCTGCTAAGTAGCAAGTGAGCAAGGAATACAACATACAGCTTTGCAGTAGCCAAATGCAGATGATTACCTCACTCTGGCAAGTGATTTCATTAAAGGTTCAGAGGACTGGATGGAAAGATGGACAGGGAAGGAACTTTCAGGACAATGGACTCTCTGGGTTAGTAAGGAACTCCTCTCCCTCGTCCCCCTCTTGGTGGGACTCTTGCCGATCCCCGATAGAGTTTTCCGTAAGCAGAAGACTGAGTTGGGGCCCCCCAGTGAAGGCTTGCTCCGGAGCTGCTGGCCCCAGGAGTTCCTGCCCCCAGCTCCCCATAGTTTTGCAACTTGGTCTCTGTGTGCACCACAGAGTTGCTGCTTCCCTCTGCCTTCAGAAATGGCTGCCCGACCACTGACTGTAATGCTAAGGGAGCCCTGGCAAAACGGAGATCCTGGTCCCCTGGGAACTGCACTGACCCTGTGCCCTGGTAACTGCTGGACTCCCCAACGTGGCTCACAGAGCCTGAGAAGGTCCTGTTCTTCACCAGGGTCTGGACCAAGGATTCTGTCAAGGCTGGACCAGAGCTGCGTTCATCAGTGTCAGTGGCACTGAACCCTGTTTCAGGCCCATCAGTGTTTCCGTAAGTCCTGTTTGGATGGGGCCGGGTGGAGTACTCCATTGGTCTCAAGGCCTGGTGCTCATGTGGCAGGTGGCCAGGAGGCTCTGCTTCAGGCTGGGATAAAAGTTGCAGCAAGGCGGCTGTCACGGCGGGGTTCAACTCCTGGGGGGCGCTGGAAAGATCGCCTTCAACCAGAGGGGGTGGAGGTGGCGGCGGTGGAGGTCCAGGGGGTTCAGGGGGCCTCTTCTCTGGTGGAAGAATGTGAGGAGGACATGCTGTGGAAGGGTTACTTCTTTTAAACACCATCTTAAAAATCATGTGATATAAGCACAAACACACTCACACATACACGCATACTGCCCAACATAAACAAGTATCAACACAAATTACCAGATATATAAAGAATAAAATCTTGGGATCAGAAAATTGCAATTTATAAATAAAATCAAGTTGTTAAAAACAGTTGCATTCTGGATCTAACAGCTGGTGTAAAAGGATGATATGTTTCAAACCATCGTCCTGATTTTTGTCTGAGATTTCCTCCATTTCCTTCCTTAAAGAACTGTTCTAATGTAGACTGTTGGCAACCTCACCACTCCTTTGTTGCTGTTAGAGCAAAACATTATTGAGGATAGGGCAGCAGAAGGAAGATAAAAGGGAATATACATGCTGTGGTCATATTTCTAGAACATCATCTTGCTGTACAACAGAGACCTTACACAGACTTGGCTAACACATTTACAGAATATTCGATGATATAAGGTTAACCTGAAATAAAACTTACAGAATATACAAGAGAGATGAAATAAAGTAAAAACTCATTACCATCATGTATAACTGCTTCTCCAAACTTCAGTCACCTTTCCCCTCTACTCACATTGTCAAGAAAGGGGTATTAACCACCATACTGTCGTTCAACTTCTTACCTTAACAGTAATTATAAAGACTAAACCAATTTACCATAATTTCTACTTTATTTTCCTACCTTTTAAACTTTTTTCATTCTGTGAAAAAAATAATCACTATAGTTGTGTCATTCAGAATGGGCTGCTGATGAACTGCCATTTATCCTGGAGAGTGTTGAGAACTTAGTATTCAGGAACTAATACTAACTTGGTCTTCACTAACATCTTTGTCATTCCTGAACCACTTCCCTAGACTTTCTTTCTTCCACTGCTGTCTAAATTTGCCTACTCTTGGCAATCATTTGTCTGACAATGAACTCCTGCGAAGACAGGAGAGAAGAAATGTAAAATGGTGTGAGATTGAGGACATGCAAAACCAGAGACAGAAGTATGGTCAGAACAGTGCCTTTAGAGAACTGGGAGTCACCCTGCTAAAGAAAAGGTTGGGAATATCCACTAAATGACTGATTTTTTTTTTCCCCATGGAAGCATATTTTAAAATATCCATATAGTCACTCTACCATTTCTGAGCTAGCAGTGATATGAAGTCATTACTTAGACAAGCTGAAAGCAATGTTTTGTTACAATTATTTTCATAATTAGCATGTTTACCTTGATTTTATTTTACAAAAGCAGCAAGTTTGCATTTCCTTTGCTGTGCAAGGATGAGGGTTAGGTGCTTTATGTAACACACAAGGGGGTTGTTCAATAGTTTTGGTTTTCCCAGGACTGACAGGGTGCCAAGGTTGCCAACTATCAGTTTTAAAACCAGGACAGTCGAGGGACAAGTTATTCACCTAATACGTAGTATACCCGGGAAGTTATTTGTTGACTGATGGCTTGGGTGATGGGTAGCTGGAGAAAATCAATTCAAGGACCAAAAATTAGCTATGGGAAACTCCCAATTTGAAGAGTAGATATCTTGACATGCTAAGTGAACTATAAGTACCTATGATTTCAGAGCCTTTTGCTGTCAACATTATGTATCTTTCTATATAATATATAAGGACATTAAAGTACCAGTCATTTAAAAGTATGTGGGGATTATGCATGAGATGGAACACCAGGTGTTTTTAACACTTAGGGCAAACAACTTGAAAAATGCATAACTGCAAAAGTGGGCAAATTTAAATTTACATTCTTCCAGCTACACCACTTTTCATATTTAAACTTTATCTTTTATGTAAATAGCCTAATTGTGTGTTTGAACAGAATTCTTGAGCTCAAATTCACATATATAAAATGAAAATTCTATTTCAAAATAGCAACACAGATGGATTGTAAAGAACTAAAGTTAAAACTTCTTAAAGGAATTAAAAAATATGAATTACAAATCATATTGTTCTAAGATTTAAATTGTTAATGTTGTCAATCTTTAACAGTTTTGTACTAATGTAGGGAGGTATTAAGTAAATTTAAAAATAACTTCAAAACTTCTTTTGATTCATTAGATTTCAACCACTGCCCTTTCCCAACAAGTACAGAGTAAATGAACAGTAGCCAAACCGATAGGTTGTCACCCAGGCTTATAGTCTGCCCTCTGGTGGAAGTGCTAATGAACAGGGCGATGGCTACGTAAGACATCAAGAAAAAACAGGAGAGCCTAGGGAAGGCTACTATAGTTAGTGCTGGCATTTTAAACTCTCTCTGAAAAGTAAATCCAACAATTTCTGGCCATAGGTAGGCCTTAGTTTTATTTCACTTTCATCATGTGGCTGATAGTTTGTTGGTTCAACTATTGGATGAATTTCTTCTAATCACTATGCTACTTAGTTGGACCCACTTCTTTCAGGCATTTTCTTTTACTTTTTTTTTTTGGAGATAGGGTCTTGCTGTGTAGCTCAGGCTGGCCTTGAACTCACTATGGAGCCTAGGCTGGCCTCAAACTTGCAGCAATTCTCCTGCCTTTGCCTCCCAAGCACTGGGATTACAGGCATGTGCCACCACGCCCAGCCTTAGGCATTTTCAATAGAGCTGCATCATTTTTGGTGAGTGGAGGAGGAAGAGTCAGAACCTGAACGATGAGATGAAGAGGCCGCTTTACTTCTACACAGTCTTTTCTGTTACTCCAGGTCTTACAGTCTCTTAAATAAAACAGTTGTTCATCATGACAGAGTGGCACAGTGAATCGAGAAGCACATGAGCTCCAGTTTTTTGCCAAAAGACTATAGCCACTTATTTAAACTCCCCAGATTGCAGTTTTCCTACTTGTGAAGTAAGGGATTTTCTTTAATACCTTCCAATTTTAAGTATCTTCATATACAAAACACAACTTATGTGACTGACCTGAGACCACTGAAAATAAAGCACATATTTTCTGCACTACTGCACATGAAATGTGAATGCAGGTCCCTAAAGTTGAAGGGTTAGTGTACCTCTTCAGCCCTTGTGCCTCTTCTTATTTCCCAATGCAAGGGGTCTTCATGAACAGTGAAAATTTCCAAAGAGTTGCAAACACTCAGATTTTGCAAACAGACTGTGAATCAGAATTCATCAGAGAATTTAAACTTCTTTTTTCTCTAATTGCATGCTGTGGCCATGTGAGATCAAGGTATAATACCTTTTTTCAGTTTTTTTTTCCTTTTTATAATGTTGGGGTCCATTCCATTGTTTCTTTCAGGGAACACATACTTATAGGAATCATTTTTATGTGTTATTATTTTTGGAAAATAAATATATGGTGTTATCTACTTAAAGCTATTCCCAAATTATTCTTCAAGAAATTAAAATGATTATTTTATTGGGGTTTTCTTGACTGGATCTTCCAGGTAATTCTCGTATGCAGCATCCACTCCACTAGAGGTAAAGAAATACAATGTGGTAACAGTTTGTTCTAGGACCAGCTGGGCACCACACACACAGTGGTTCAAGACACACTACCAGCCACGGTTGTGGTGTCCTTGGTTAGAATAAAGGGATTTTACTTACCAACATCCTATGAAATGGAAAAACAATCAGTATATGAAAGGTGCTACAAGAAGCTTTGAGACTTAAATAAAAAGAAGTTGGGTAAGAAATACATCACCTTGGTGCTATGTTCTCCTGTAGACTAGATTAGAGAAAAACTGAAACTGAGGTCATTGGTGTGAAAAATAAAATGTTAAGAGATTTTTAAGAGGATAAATAGCACCTGAGCTCAAAGAGATTCATGACCGGTCTGTTTACCTGCTGCCTCCTCCTGTGGCATTGTGGGAGTTCTTCGGGGCCCCTGTGGCCCACTATTCTTGTCACTGTTGTTTTCCTCTAAGTTGCCTGCTGGCTCCTGGGTTTTCATCAGCTGACTCAAGAGAACTGCCAACATATTCTGCATGTCAGCTGGTGTGCTTGAAGCTTCAGGGGTTGTCTGTTCTGCTGAAGGCAGGGCTGTTGGGGCAGGGAGTGCCTCCTTCAAAGACTCCTCTGGGGCTATGGGCTCTGAGTTCTGCTGCTGGGAAGTGGCTTCTGTCAGGGCATTGATGGATTGGTTGAGGGCTTCCAGCTGCTGCTGCATCTCCGGGTTAGAGTGGATGTTAAGCAGCTGTGCCATTTGAGGGATGCTCAGGTCAGTTTGGCTATGCAGCAGGTTCAATAACACTGCTAATTCACTTTGATTCAGCTGCTGTGTGATGTCACCAATGCCTGTGGGGAGACAGTGGAGCCAACATAAGAGGACGAGGCAGGGCAAGGGCCCTTTGCCTTCTTCAATTGGCAACAGCAACTTATAATATCCGAAGAATGAAGTTTCATTTGGAATATCTCATTTTTCATGTCTCAAACTGTCATGACACAGGCTGTGAATCTTTATAATCTTGCTTAAAAAATACAGAGACTAGCTGGGCATCGTGGTGCATGCCTGTCACCCCAGCACTTGGGCGGCTGAGGCAGGAGGATCATCATAAGAGTTTGAGGCCAGCCTGGGCTACATAGTGAAATCACGGCCAGCCTGAACTACAGAGTAAGACCCTGTCTCAAAAAAACAAAACAAAAGAAAAAACACCCAGAGACTAACTAAAACATCTGTGTGTTTGAAAGTGATTTCATTTTATCTATCATCTTCATGGTCAGTGATTACAATCCTCAGTGTACAGAATTACTAAGCTTTTAAATTTCAAGCTACGCATGGTGGTACACACCTGTAACACCAGCACTTGAGAGGATGAAGCAGGAGGACTTCAAGTTTGAGGCCAGTCTGGGCTATAGAGACCTCATCTCAATAAAACAAAACAAACTGATGCCTTGTATCTTATCTCTAGAAATCTGGCATTTTGTTTGAGGGTACATTTTTTTTAAAGTTTCTTGGATGATTCTAAAATGGAGCCAATGTTGAGAACTACCACTGTACACGGACAGGAAAAAAAAGTGAATCAGAAAAATATCTGCAGTTTAGAAAAATTCATGGTACCAAAGAAGTATTTCATTATAATAATTCATTATGACACAGTTTTAAGATATATTTAGATCAAGTAACAGTCTACAGTACTAACTACTGATAGTGGTGGCAACCCTACGGCAAGCGTGCCACACCAGGCAAACAGAGTCCTCCCAATGAGCACATGAACCACGTCACCCCAGCAGCTGAGAATCGGGTAACAGCTGTTTTTTCTAAATTCAAACCTCACTATTCAGGTTTAATCACAGTGTTGGCAATCTGAGATAAATAAGTGGGTTTTGGGTTGCAGTTTGGGCACTCAGTCTCTAAAAGGTTACCTATCACTGACCTATAGCAATTGTAATTTAACACTGGATTCTAAAATCTTATCAAACCTTACATAATGTGGCTCTAAATTATGTGTATTTGAAAGACATGGGTGAACTAACTTTAAATTTTGATTACCTAACTCACTGACTTGTGCTATGCAGCATACCTTATTTCCAGGAATGAAAATGGTCTACCATGGCCTTTGTGAACTGTATGTACCAAATATGGTTTATGTTCTCCCCATAAATGAGGACACTAACCTCTTTACCCAGGCCTCCTTGGACAAAAACTAAAAGATACATGTGCACACACACATATACACACATATATGCATGCATACTCTTTGCACTTGACCTTCAAAATTTGCCAAAGTGTGCTACATTAAGAAAATAGGGTCTGGGGATATAGCTCAGCGGCAGAGCGCCTGCCTGGCAAGTGCAAGGTCCTGAGTTTGATTCCCGGAACCAAAAAAAAAAAAAAAAAAAAAAAAAAAATTAGAAGCACAAAGGCCCCACTGCAGCACTGACCTACTGAATCCCCAGCCCCAGGCTGCTCCACTTTGCCAGCAGCAGGCTGAGGTGGTGCTGGGCTACTGCTCTTCACAGGCTCAGCACTTGTCCCTGAGGTAGTTTCTTTCCGAGAAACTTTGGACGGAGGTGGCTCTTCCACCACAATACCACTTTGTCGCTGTCGTCGTCGTTTCTTACTCCACAATTCATGGCAATCCTGCCAGTGAGGAAGGCTAGAAAAAAGCAAACAAGAATGCAGCAGTGAGTGAAGGAGGGATAAAGGATTAAAATGGGAAAGCAACAACATGGGAAGTGGAAATGATATGGAAAACATAAAAGTTACTAAGGACATAAAGACATAAGGACATATGTACCAGGACATACAGAATTACGGCAGAAAAAAAAAAAAAAAAAAATTACGGCAGATGGCAGCCTGAGGAAGTAAGTTTGCAAATTCAAAAGGTTTATACAGTGATAAGTGAGAATCTTACTAATATTTGGGACACAGTACTATATAAATGTCCATATTCTAGTCAAATACTGTTTTTTTCTTGACATAACAAGAAAAACAAACACACAAAGACAAATAGAATTTAGCTAGGGATGCTGGTGCACACCTGTAATCCCCAACAGTAAGGGAAGCTGAAGTTCTAGGCCTGCCAGAACAACTTAACAGTGAGATCCTGTCTCAAAATAAAAAGGGCTAGGGATTAGAATACCTCTAGGGTTTAATCCCTAGCACCAAAAAGAAAAACAAAAAAAAAAAAGGTCAAACAGATGGTCAAATTTCAGCTGAGAACAAATAAAAGGACAAACTGGCTCATTAATAGCTATAAATAGTTCAGGAAAGTGATATAAATCTAGGAACCATATAAATATATCATGATTAAATTACCTCTGTGCAAAATCTGTTATTTGCTCTGTGAGGACCAAAGACTGTTTTTTTCTTCATTCTAGCCACCAAATTTCTATGACTGAGTGTTATTAACTTTTTCATCTATGGAGTTTAGCACTATGCACTGTTTGGTGTATTTCTAGACTTTACCATACTCAATGATATAATCAGTAAAAGTCGGTCAATCTTACAACAAAATCTCTGTAGCAGGAGCTCACAAATTTTAGTAAAAAGCTTATATATTTGAACCACATTCAGTATACGAAAATTTTTGTGAGATAAATTAATTTGGGCATTTGTTTGGCATAATCAGCTTTATAGTACCATCTATGCATGTTCACCCGATCTATTCTTTAAGGCATGCAGTCTGTCCTAAGGAAAGAAAATGAAAGAAAAAAAAAAAAGTCCGGAAATGTAGCTCAGCGGCACAAGCACCTGCCTGGCAAGCACAAGGTCCTGAGTTCGATTCCTGGTACCAAAAAAAAAAAAGACACAGTAGCTATAATACTGTCAGTGATAAATTCAAAGATAAACTATAGACTTTCTTAGTGCCAGAATGTTGAGGATACTTCTACAGATCCTACATAATACAAGAACTGTCTAAGATTACAATGGATAGGTTGGGGATACAGCTCAGTGATGCAGGCCTGTCTGGCAAGTGTGAGGTCCTGAGTTCAATTCCCGGTACATCCGCCCCCTCAAAAAGATTGCAATGGAAATATGATACAAAGACCTTACTTTTTATGTCAAAATTCAAGGAGCAGACAGTGATGCAAACTATTTAGAATTAGGACTGAGAAAATAATGGCTACCACAGATCTAAGTGACTTAAACAGATGGAATGGGTAAGAACAAAAGCAAGAACACTTGCAAAGAGGTTGTACATGGCAATATGCAAGGGATCAGAGACAAAGATTACTTAGTCAAATTAGAACAAAAATTATAGCTACACTGACTATTATTTAAAATAATATAACAAACTTTCCTATCAACCATAATATTCAAGGATACACCTTCATTTGAGAATTAGCTATTTGTAATTCTTTTAAACCATCACTTTGAGTCTTAGGGGAGTTTTAGGGTCCCTACACAGCCACCAGCACTTACTCTGGCGGAGCCATCTTGCTGAGCTCCACATCTTTAAGGAAGTCACTCTGTAGAGTCTGTTCTGCCGTGCAGCGCTTGCTAGGATCCAGTGTCAGCATGTGATCCAATAAATCAAGTGCAGCTGAAGGAATACTGTGAAAAGAAAAGGAAATGCTAAGTTCACAATGACCCTACAGTGTACTGGGGACTAAACCCAGGGCCTATGTACTGAGCTATACTCCCAACCCTTTTTTTATAATCTTTTATTTTGAGAAAGGGTCTTGCAAGTTGCTAATTTGCCCAGACTAACTTTGAACCTGTGATCCTGGCTCAGCCTCTCAGGGTGACGGGATTACAGGCATGTGCCACTATACTTGCCTGGCCCTACAGTTCTTAAAACTTGTAACCTTGTGTCAAAAGGGCTCTCAATTTCCACCTCCATGTAATTCTAAGCAAAAAGAGCTAGAAGTTGGCTAATGTGGGTGAGCAAATATACTCCCCTACAGGATTTAAGAAACGCTCCAGCCAGGTGTGGTGGCACATGCCTGTAATCTCAGCCCTCGGGAGGCTGAGGCAGGAGGATCACAGTGAGCTTGAAGCCACCTTGGGCTACACAGTGAGTTCAAGGCAAGCCTGAACTATACATGGAGACCCTATCTCAAAAAACAGACAAGGCACACAGGCAGACAGACAAGCAAAGCAAAGCAAAGCAAAGCAAAGCAAAGCAAAGCAAAGCAAAGCAAAGCAAAGCAAAGCAAAGCAAAGCTGCAGTGCAGGTAAAAAACATGAAGTCACTAGTTCTATTCTCTTTTCCTTGGAAAGATCAAAAGGACTATAAAGAAATTTATGTATTATTCAAAATAAAGTGGTTTTCTATTGTCTAAAGCCCTTAAATGAGAAGAAGGCTATGGTAAAACTCATAACATTGTTCAAAAGTAAAACGAGTGCTACAGTAATTTGAGATACTACCTAGGCCAGAAAAAAGCTAGACCAAATGAAGTACACATTTTTGCCAAACTCACAAAGAGAATTCCTCTCGCAGACGCCGCCTGTATTGCTTCTTTGGTTTCATGGTGTTGAAGTAGGGCAGCTTGATAACATCAGGCCACACAGCTGGACAAGGGCTACCACAGAGACGGCTGAAAACAAAACAAAAGGCAAGACCAAGAAAGTAAGTAAGTCAGCATCCTGAACTTTGGAGGTTCTAGAAGCAGGAATTATTACCTCTTGAGGACTGGGCAATCTTTGCTTATTACAGGGTATGCAGAAAGGTAAAACATGACCTTACTGCTTTAAGAGTAGAAAGAACAGGATAAAAAGACAGTAAGAAAACATACTGCTATAACAATCCAAAACGATCCATGTATTTGCTTTTGTAAAGCACATTTTTAATCTCCCACATAGGTTTTTATTATAAATTTCGCTCTGTTCAGTTAGTTCCAGTACAATTTCATACACTAGAAATTATAGCAATAATTGGGCATTGGGTTTTATAGAGTCCTACGGGGAAAGTGAGAGAAGAGAGTCCAAAACTGAAAGTTTTGATAATTGAGAATTTACTGCCAAGGGTATAGTTCAGTGGCACAAGTGCCTGCCTGGCAAGCACAAGGTCTTGAGTTTGATTCCTGA